TTTAAAGTCTAATTTCAGAAAATCTAACAAAATTTTTCTTTAGTTAATTAATGTGTTGTTTATAAAAGTTCCGACAGAGGTTATATGTTTATCAAATATGATTTAGACGTTCAAGAGAAAGAAAATAGTAAGGCATGGCTCATACAAAAAAAAATGATTGACTGATTGATTTATATATTAATTTTTCTTTTGTTATTTTAGAGTCGAAAAGCAAAAAATTGCGTGTAATTATTTAAAGCGGTGTTTATAACATTCAAATGAAAATTCTTTAATGATTTCGTCAAAACGTACATGACAATGCTAGCAATGATTTATCTATTTGTTTAAGTTTGTTTTACTTTATTTAACTTTCGAAAATGATTTTTTTTTTTTACTGTTTTATCTCAAAAGCGCTTCCGGTCCCAGCTGTTCCGAGTCAGGGTGAATATCCTTCACCAAACAGAATGAATTCGTTGGGTTTTATTATTAATTATATGCATAAGCGTTATTTAAATAAATTGTTCTTTCTTATCATTTGCTCTGATGTTGCGAAATTAAGGTAGATTATGGTATGTTATTAAACATCTGGGTCTGTGAAAGATGCACTAGGCAGGGGAAGCTATCGTGTTTTATTAAACATCTGGTACGACTTCTCGAGTTGGGGGATCGCGATTAAGAACTGCGCTACTGCACGGGTTTTGTACTGATGCATTTCGGAAAGGTACTTGCAGGGTTGTAGCGTTCGCATTACCGGTATTGACAGTCATAACGATAAGATATTTTTGCAAAAATAAACGAAAGTATTTTCTTTACTACTTAATAAAATTCCAGTAAACAATTTTATTTATTCCTTTAATCATGTATGTAACGTTTTCATATTCAACGAGAGTGCGAGCAATTAGTTATGGTATAACATGCAAATCACTGTTTGTGTGACATCTGGTGTCGTCTAACCACAAGGGCGCAATTCGGGTGCATCTTCGCACCAATTAGGGGTTCGTTAAAGCGAGAGAACCGTCTTGTCGCACTGTTTCTAAATTTGGGAACTTAAGATATTGAGAAAACCGTTTTAGTGTTCAGTGATTTTTGATACAAGCAAGATCGTGTCTGTTGTTGTGAAAATTAATCTAGCAAGCAAAAGCAGAAATAGGTAAGTAATAATTTTGTTTTCTATTGTGTTCTCAATGGTTCAAACGTATGTCTGTTAATTTACTTTAATTTTGTAATGAAATCTTTTCAACGATTACTTTTTTTTTTATAGGTGAACAACGACGAGTTTTTACCGGCTTTCACGCTATCATCGGACGGAGGAGAGCTTATCCTCGACACCTAGACGCTTTGCGAGCTTATCAATCAAATTCGCGTCGCTTCCACGTTAGAAATCGCGGATTCGACTTGGGACGGACTTTCGACATCGCGCCCCGCAACCAGCAGAAGACCCGTAGTTGGGGTACAACGGAGACTTCTGCCTACCTACGAAGCGGACTTTGTACCATCACCGCCGAATTTTTCGCGAGTTGGGATATTATCTGGTCAGTTCCTGGTGGTACTACTGACTCACACTGCGATCGTCGCCTATTCCGAACTAAATTGTCGGTGGAGTGATTATACATGATGGTGTTCTTATGGTGTATGTCTTATAATTTAAAATAAATTTGAAGTAATTGAAAATTTCTGGTGTTTATTTCATAAGCTTGCTGTGCTACTGGATGTAATTAAAAGAAAAGTTGTTCCATAATTTAAAAGTGCGAAAGTGAGAAAGATGAGGAAAAAATTTTAGTATCTTATAGACAAAACTTGGTAAGTAAGAAGTACTTAAACTCTGTGTGCACTCTAGTTGAATAAATTGCGTGAATTCTCGAATTTAATGTTTTTCTGGAATTATCATAATAAGTGTGCTCGATAGAAAATAAACTTCTTTGATAAATAAAGGCCGTTGTTTAGATAAAAAGTAAAATGCCTAATTTTATACTAAAAATTGCTCAAAATTAATTTTATTTACATTAACCTTACTAGATTTTTCTAAAATCTCTTTTATGCGGTTTATAACATCTATTTATTTAATTTTTCTGCTAATTTGTTCTTCTTATGAGAACGGTTTATTAAAACCATGCAAAATTATTTTCAATTTTCCGGCGCGATCGTTCGAAATAAGTTCGGTCGAAGAGTCGCGCGACGCACGAGCTTACGCTGAAGTGGCTCCGTTGCCACGGCGGTTCGACAAGATGGCCACGACAGTTCTCGCGGTGAAATTACCATTGAATTTATTTTTCTTAGCCGTCATTTCGCAAGAGTTAAAGCTACATTAATTTACCGTATTTTCTAGGGTGTCTTACTTTGGATTTTTCTGATTTTTTTTTTTATGGTTTTTAAGATTTTTCAAAAAAAAATTTTTTTTTTTTTTGTTAATTCATTATTACAACTTCCCTTCTTTGCAATTTAGCGAGTAATCCTACCGACTGCGCCATTTTGTCGTGCCCAAATAGTTTTGACCGCGGCCGAGCTTTTGGACACTAACAAAATTATTTATTTGGGTGTAGGCCCATTTCCTTGGAAATGGAAGAGCTAAACTGCATGTAGGGGAAGAGGTAATAATTAAACATATATAACATTTTTATACGTATATTAAAAGAAAGCATAATAAGCATGTCAAAAGAATAATCGAGTAAATGTGTAAATAATCAACAGAAAAATAAAACATAAAATAAATTCACACACATAACACGAAAAAACAAAACAACATGCAAAACATTCTTCTAAAGCGCTACGCAATTATATTCCACTAATAAAACTCTTAAAATCTATGAACATAACCCACATTTTTAATTAATAAACTTAATCCTAGAAAAATCAGCATGCAAAAGACTAAAAATTAATTCGGTAAATCCATAATTAAATGCGATACCTTCTAAACAACATTAATATTACGAGCATGATAAATAACCAAAAAAAATAAACTACTAACTACTAAATGGTATCATTACTTAATTATTTAAATAAATTGCGATTGGGCATTTATATATATATTAATTAAATCATGAGAACAACTAAAATAACGGATAAAATCATGCACTTAAATCTACGACAACTTATGAATATAAACATGTAAAAAGAGAGATAAATAAGTTTTCACATACATCGATTAGCTAAATATGCCGAGCACAACAATCGTTCACGAGAAAAATTGATGGTTACAGGACAGGTAGGTACATGTGAAAATAAACAGTCATAATTTATACATGCAGTTAAACATTGGGACGTTAGTATCATAAATGCGCTAAAACACAACGAGACGATTAAAATAAAGTATAATGTGAGAAATATAGCAATATAACATATACTATAGCAAAATAATCAGAGAACGGAGTCATATTTAAACGGCAAAAATTCAATATAAAATAATCGACAGCAAGAAATTTAGATTAATAGGTTTCAATTCGGGAACTTCCCAAAAACGCACATAAAATATTCATGTCGCAAGCAAAGAATTAAATCGGCAAATTTAAAGAGATATTGGAATAATTATTATAAAAGCAAATGGTAAAAATCAGAAAAATCCTCTCCAAAACGCATATAAAATATTTATGTCGCAAGCAAAAGAGTTAAATCGGCAATTTACAGAAATTTGGAATAATTATCATAAAAGTAAACGGTAATTTATCGAAAAATCCTCCCCAATAATCAAGAACCGACGCAAGGCTAAACGTGCCACCTACAAACGGGAACATATGGAAGCACTAAAGATTACTTTCGGTGCCGGTGCTAACTGTTCACACCCAACGAAACGAAGAAAAACGCATAAATTAAACGCTACACATGTACGATTCGAACTCGAGAACACATGACGAAAAAACGGAAAGCAAGATAAATTAAGAATGACTAAAAGGTAGACTTACACAGCTGCTGCATTGAGAATTTTTCTATCTTCCTCTCGGGCTCAGCAAATTCTTCTAAGTTCGGATTTCTTCAAAATTCAGCAAAATTAATAAGATCTCGACGCCGGTTTGGACAGAGCCTTCGGCCGCAACTGGAAACTTCTACTTTAACTGAATCTCTTTCCTGCTCGAAATTCAGCCTTATATAGCTTCGTTTTGGACAGAAATAGAACCGTGCTTTTGTGTGGTACTATATGCCCTTATATGGTCATGAAAATGTGAAGATGCGTCGACCAATCGGTAAGTCCGCTTCCTTATATGGTAAAAATATGGGAAGCTGATGAAATCTCAGTTCCGGGGATGAAGTGGGGATCATTCTAGCGAGGGCTAAGATGAGTGTGCGTGCACAGATGCACTGCTGGGTTGATGACGTAGTAAGTTTGAAGCGACGGCGTTCTTTGATGTTTTTTATGCGTCTGCGTTTCGTTTGCAGCTGTTTTGGTTTGGATACAATTTTTAGATGAGAGTAATTGCGATTGGCGATGTTTCTGGCGCATTATTTTGTACAAGTTATTTGCAATGTCTGGCAAGCGCAATGTTATTCGCAATTTGCGAATACGCGAATTTTGTTCCTGCATTTGGGGATTGATGGTTGATTTTGTTTATCTATTTGAATGGTACTATATGCCGATTAGAACATGCGTGTTAATTAATTAAGATTTGCAAATTTTCTAGTTATGTTTTGAGGGTTTGTTATTAGTCTTTTTAGTTGCAATTTTCTCGTGAACGAATTTAGTGACGGCTCGTCACACATGACCCCTAGTGTACGAAGAAATAGGTCTCCCTTTTCCGTCTGTCTGTCCATCTGCCTGTCTGTCTGCTGTCATGGATTTTTATTAGACAGGTAATCTCCGAAAGTACTGGGCCGATTGTTGTCAAAATTTGCACTGTAACGGAACTTAGTTTTGAAAAAGAAGAGTGGGCTGATTAGAAAAAGGGTTGACAGATAGAAAATAGTATCTGAATGTTTAATTTTGTTGATGTTTTGTACATTTAAATAAATGAATCATATTATAATGGGCGCCACCCTAGTGGCCCGAAGCACCCCATTGTACATTCGCGGTTAATTGTGTGCAAAATTCCATGATGCCGCCGAAACTTAATATTCTAGCTTCAGTTACTCTATCGGCTGACCAATTTAAGCAACTACTATCAACAATTATGGAGCAAGCTACAACTACACAACAGTCCGAGGTACGACGAAGCGTATCATCAACTTCTTACACTCGATCTCCAGATAGTTTTGCTAAATGTAGTGCCAGATTTAATGGTTCAGATGACGCCAATGTAGAAGCTTTTATAGACAATATCATAACATATAAAGACTGCACCAATATCAGTGACGAAAATGCACTGCGTGGTCTTTCAATGTTGCTCGAGTCTAGCGCTGCTACTCGGTGGTAGGGAATCAAACCGTCGACGAAAGACTGGAGGAGTGCAGTAAATATCCTCAGAGAAGTGTATTCGAAGAAATTACCCACTCATGCAGTCTTCCGACAACTCTTTGCTCGTGAGCAAACACACCACGAAGCCACTCATATCTTCGTTGCGAAATTTCGAGCTTTAATCGCACAATTGCCATATAGTGTTGCAGAAGAAATGCAGCTGGATAAAGTTTATGGACTTTTAGCTCTGAAGATTCGAAAGAGACTTACGCGTAGTGAAATAAACTCTTTCAAAGATTTGCTGAATTGTGCCCGCGAAATAGAACAATCGTTTCGTGAATCCGCGTTTCGCAAACAAGAAATAAACACAAACCAGGACGGAATGCAAATAAAGAAGTTACGACCTCGTTATGAACATTGCAAAAAATTTGGTCACTTAAAGAATGAGTGTCGCCAACTGGAAAAAGAAAACGATGATAAAGAACTGTCAAAGTCAACATCAGCAAGATCAAAACCTGAGTGTTATGGCTGTGGTACTCCTGGCTACTACAGATGGAACTGCCCGAAATGCAAAGAAAAAACAGACGTCAAAACTAACATCTTTGAATTCTCACGGCCATCTTTAGAAAATGAATGAAGCTGCGACGCTCCAATCCTACCCTTAGAAGTGAAAGGTGCAAAAGGAATTGACTCGCCGATTCAGGATCAAAATGGAACATAGCTGGTCACACCCTCCATAAGGTGTTACAAGATAAGGGAGTTAAGTTTGAAACAATGGATGCAGTGGTAACATTAGCTGACGAAATTCCTAGAGATAAGAAACTACTGGTAACAAATGTAGACGTTAAGATAAAAGACAAAATAACTCCAACTAGTTTTGTTATAATGCCGTATTTAGTTGATGTTGATGAGAATGAAATTTTAAGAGTGTTAATTTTATATTCAATTATCTTTAAAAAAAAGGAACAGTTGCTATGTAACAAAAATATATGAGATAAATAAAAATGATTAAAAAAGTCAATTTCCTATTTTCTCAAACAAAGAAGTAAAAGTAAAACGCGAAATCACAACAGGTTATGGGCCCAGGGTACTCGCAAGTACTGAGGCAGTAAAGCTAGAAGAAGAAATTTTAGAACCTTAACGAGAGAAATAAAACTCGAAAAGGAAGAAAACGTATTTGACAGTGACATAAGAAGAAAAAAATAAAAAAAAAAACCAAAAAAATAATGGCGTTGACAGAAGAGGTGAATTTAATAGAAAAGCTTAAAGATGAAACCACGTATCAGTTGTGGAAATTTCAAATAGTAGTAACATTTAAGGCTTATGATCTGTTTGGAATAGTAAATGGAGACAAGCTTCTATCTAGTGTGGAAAAGGAGGAAGATAAAACTAAATGGGTGAGAAATGATGCAAAAGCGCAAAAACTAATTGTGACGTCAATAGACAAAAAGTACATGATGCATATTATGGACTGCACCACCTCCAAAGAAATGTTCGAAAAAATCAAAAATATTTTTGAAAGAAGCACTTCAGAACAAATATGTAATTTGCTGCAAGAGTTCTACAGCTACACATTTGGAAAAGGTACTGATATGGCTACTCACATTAGCAAAATAGAAAGTATTGCACACAAATTAAAAAGTCTCAATCAAACAGTTGATGACAACATGTTAATGTCAAAAATACTGTCATCTTTACCTCAAAATTATGGTTTCTTCAGGACTGCCTGGGAATCTACTCAAGATAATGAGAAAACCTTACCAAAATTGATAGCAAGACTACTATCCGAAGAAAACCGTAGCAAGGAAAGTGAGAGAGATATTGCATTTAAAAGTTCAGAGAGATTTTGTAAACATTGTAAAAGTAGTTCGCATGATACAAGATTTTGCGGAAAATGGAAAGAAAAGGGTGCTGGCGAAGTAAAATGTTTTAAGTGTGGGTGCTTTGGACATATTGCAAATAACTGTCCCAAAAAGACAAATAACCAATGCAAGATTTGCAAGAAAACAAACCATAAAGAGCAAGACTGTTTTTTTAGAGATAAGACAAAATCATTAGAAAAAAAGAAGATAGCCTTTCTTACAGAAGACAGAAGATTGACAACGCAAGATTTTATAGTTGATTCAGGATGTTCATCCCACATGGTCAACTCGAAAGTGATGTTTACAGCATTAGAAAATATCGAAAGTAGCATACAAGTTGCAAAGAAGAATGAAAAAATGAAGGCAGAAGGGAAAGGAACAGTTGAAGGAAGTTCATGTATACTGAATGATGTACTTTTTGTACCCGAATTAAGCAAAAATCTACTGTCGGTTAATGCTATAACAGAGAATGATGGTGAAGTAACATTTACTAAAGAAAAGGTAGTAATAAAGAAAAACAATGAAAAAATACTTGAAGGGAAAAAAATTGAAAGTGGTTTATATATGGTTAGTATAAATCAAAGTAAGGAAGAGAGTTATCTTGCAGAAAATACTTCAGTAAAAGATTGGCATAGAAAGCTAGGACATTTGGGAACAAAGAATATAAAAAAATTAATAGATCTATCGACAGGCATGAAACTGAATAAAAAGAAATGTCAAATGGGTTTCTGTGAAGTCTGCATGGAAGCAAAGCAAACAAGACAACAATACAACGAGACAGAGGGCAAGAAGACCACTAGAAATTCTACATACAGATGTATGCGGCCCAATCGATCCTGAAACTTGGGATGGAAAACAATACATTTTAACAGTGTTAGATGATTATACTCATTATTGTAGAATTTTTCTATTGAAGTATAAGAGTGAAGTATCAGAACATTTAAAAGATTTTATTAGAGAAGCAGAAGCTTATCATAATCAAAAGGTGGCAAAAATACGTTGTGACAATGGTGGTGAATATACGTCATCGAATTTTAAACTATGGACAAAAAATAAAGGCATTGTACTGGATTATTCTATACCCCATAGTCCACAACTAAATGGAAAAGCAGAAAGGTTAAATAGAACCTTATTGGAAAAGGCAAGAGCGATGATATTTGACAGCAAGCTAAGTAAAGATTTTTGGGGCGAAGCTGCGTATGTAGCAGCGTATCTGTTAAATCGAAGTCCTACAGAAGCAATAGACAAAACACCAATAAAATACTGGACCAAAATGAAACCTGATCTGTCCAGATTACAAATTTTTGGTTCTGTAGCATATGCAAAGACACTGGGAAATTTACACAAACTTGACTCTAGAAGTAAAAGGTATCTTTTTGTAGGATATGCACCAAATGGTTACCGCTTATGGGATGAAAAATCTAAGGAAATAAAAATACACCGAGATGTTATCTTCAAAGACCCAGAAAGCGACGAAGAAAATCAGGAACAGAATGCAGAACTAGAAGAAAACAATACAGGTGAAGATTCAGAAACCGAAATTGAAAATGAACAAGACAATAGACAAAAACCAAATCAAATAGAAGTACAAAATATAATTTTGGGAGAAGGAGAAGGCATCACAGAATCAAGAGAAGGAGAAGGCATCGCAGAAACAAGAAGTGGAAGAAAATTAAAACAATCTGTAAAACTTAAAGATTATATTGTAAACTTTGTTGAAGAAGAAGCGTTATTGACTTATGAAGAAGCTGTCAAGGGACCAGAAAAGGACAAATGGCTTGAGGCTATACGTGAAGAAAAAGAATTCCTGAATAAAAATCTTACATGGAGTTACGAGAATATAAATGAAGTAGACAAACATCGCATTCTGACAAGCAAGTGGGTATTCAAAGTTAAAGATAATGGAAAATATAGAGCAAGGTTGGTAGTAAGAGGGTGCCAACAACATAAGGGAATAGATTACAACGAAACATTCAGTCCAGTTGTGAACATAAGCTCAGTAAGAATAATGTTAGCACTGGCTGCCAAGTATAATATGTCAGTTACCAAATTTGACGTAAAAACAGCATTTTTGTATGGAAGTATTTCAGAAGAAATTTTTATGCATGTACCAGAGGGGTTCAAGTGTGAACAAACTGAAAACAAAGTGTGTAAATTGTCGAAATCGCTATATGGCCTAAAACAAGCTCCTATGAAATGGAATGAACGTTTTACTACATCTTTAAAACTGAATGGTTTAAAACCACTGATTAGTGATCAATGTTTATTTATTTACGAATATAGAAAAGACCATGTTATTAGCAATCTTTGTAGATGACGGATTATTGATCAGCAAATGTGAAGAAGAAATGAAATCGTTATTGAAAAATCTTCAAACCGAATTTGAAATGACAAGTGAAAAAAATCCTAATAGGTTTTTAGGAATTAGTATTCAAAAACATGCTGGAAAAGTTATACTTTCACAACAAGATTATGTACAAGCAACTTTAGAAAAATTCAATATGCAAAACTCCAAACCTGTACCTACGCCCATGGTCAAACAAGATATACGTTCAGAAAATAAAATGGTAAAAATTAATTATCCATTCAGAGAAGCTGTTGGAAGTTTATTATATTTAAAGAACAAGACCAGACCAGACATATCATATGCAGTGAATTACTGTAGTAGAAAAATGGAAAATTTTTCAAATCAAGACATTGTAACAGTATAAAGAATGTTTCGCTATCTGATATCTACAAAAAATGATGGACTGTGCTACGATGGCCAAAACAGTGAGAAATTGATTGCCTATTGTGATTCAGATTTTGCAGGGGACACTGAAACACGCAGAAGTACAACAGGGTACATAATATTTTTTTGTGGTGGACCCATATCGTGGTGTTCCAGGAAACAGCCAATAGTTTCACTTTCAAGCACAGAAGCTGAGTATATATCTGCCGCAGAATCTGTTAAAGAACTTCTTTACCTCAAATCTCTAATTGATGAACTTACCAATGGTGAAGTGAAGATAGATTTGTACGTTAATAATCAGAGTGCAATCTCAATAGTGAAAACCGGACAGTTCAATCGACGGAGCAAGCACATAGATGTAAGATTTCATTTTATAAATGAAAAGGAGCGAGAAGGTATTATAAACATAAAGTATTGTTCAACTGAAAAACAAATCGCCGACATATTTACCAAACCTCTTGGAAACATTAAATTTGAAAATCTGAAAGAACAATTTATGTCAATCATCAATTGACAAGTAACAAGTGACAAAACCTTAAAATTTGGAGAAGGTGCTAATGAGTTGATGTTGATGAGAATGAAATTTTAAGAGCGTTAATTTTATATTCAATTATCTTTAAAAAAAAGGAACAGTTGCTATGTAACAAAAATATATGAGATAAATAAAAATGATTAAAAAAGTCAATTTCCAATTTTCTCAAGCAAGGAAGTAAAAGTAAAACCCGAAATCACAACATATTTAACCCAGAACCATACGCTCTTAGGGCGGGAATTCTTGAAGAAGGCTAACATTGGTATAGATTTCCAAAACGAGTGTTGGTTTTTTAGAGATAAACCAGAACATACTTTCTAATATGGAATTAAAACAAACTCTGTAAACATTAATCCCATAACCCTACGCCAAAATGAAGCTCAGAAGATGAAAGACACGGCAAAAGATGAAATAAACACCCTACTTCAGAAGAATAGCACCATCTTCGAACAAGGGGGAGAAACTACGTTTGCTACGCATCGAATTAACACACAAAATGCTGTACCATTCTCCGTACCACCGTACCCGCTGAACGGACCAAAGAAGCAATTTTTGCGTGAAGAATTGAATCGATTAGTAACACAAGGAATTATAGAAGAGTGCGAGTCACCATGGTCCTTATATGATCTTGCGAATTGCTCGGATGAAGAAGAAAAGGTACAGAGCTACTTCGTTAGTGTTGACCTACCGTCATACGATGTTAAATCTATGCTACAGAAACAAATGGAAGATGATGAGATCAAGATTATTATCTTCTCTCTTGAAGGTGAAGATCCGTTAGAGATGTCTAAATGGTCTGGGAGGGCATACGTGATGAACAATGGTGTTCTCTTCCGTTTCAACCCATATGTGGACTCTGAAGATCGCCAGTTAGTGACTCCCAAAGAGTTGAGTGAAGATGTTTTGGCCCAGTACCATAATTCGCCTACAGGGGAACACTACGGCATCGAAAGAACCCTTCAAAAGATCTCTTCAAAATTTTACTTCACATATATGAGAAAATATATTGCTCGCCATGTAAAAGGTTGTATGGAATGCCAGAGATATAAACCAGAGAATCGTCAACCTGCGGGCCTACTTCAAACCCCAGCTCCTTCCCAGAGATTCGAAGTTGTGGTTATAGATATTTTCGGCGCTCTACCGGCAACTCCCAGGGGGAATCGATGGATCCTAATAATTGAGGATGTTGCTTCAAAATAGGTAGAACTTTTCCCATTAGTAAAAGCTGACTCTGAATGTTGTGCAAAAATTTTCATCGAAGAAATATTCCTATCAGTGATGTAATGCAGCAAATTACTTATTGTTTTGGTATCACAACTCCGTTCATTCCTTTGTATCATTCAGAGAGTAACCCTGTTGAACGGAAGAACCGCGAATTTAAGACTCAGTTAGCCATTTTGGTTCAAGATCACCACTCAGAATGGGATCATCACCTGAGCAGCATTCGATTCGCCATAAATTCTACATGTTGCGACTCTACGGGATATAGTCCTTCGTTTCTCACATTTGGTAGGGAGATACGAGCTCCTTATGACCCTGTACATGATCTACGCAAAGTGATTGATGCAGAAAATTTCATACCAAGAATAACTCCTTACTTAAAGAAGCTAGCTACTACTCTGTCTGAGGCAATGGATAGAAATTGCAAGAAACAAGATGTCCAGAAAACCCGCCTAGATTCCAGACGACGACCAGCTGTATTCAAGAAGGGTGACAAGGTTCTCCTGAAATCTCATACTCTCAGTAGCTCCAAAAATGGATTCTCTTCAAAACTTGCCCCAAAAAGGGATGGTCCTTATATGATCTTGCGAATTGCTTCTCCTACAACCTACGAGTTAGGAAGCTGTACAAATCCTCCAGAAAGAATTGGACGCTATCACGCCGCGGACCTCAGCCCGTTTGTTGAAGGGACTGGAAGGGATACATTAACGCCCTTAATACCAAAACGGAGGAGGGGTCGTCCTAAAAAGAATGTTTCATCCTAAACAACACCGGAGGGCCGTTTGTGTTGTTTAGAGGGGGAGTTTGTAACGGAACTTAGTTTTGAAAAAGAAGAGTGGGCTGATTAGAAAAAGGGTTGACAGATAGAAAATAGTATCTGAATGTTTAATTTTGTTGATGTTTTGTACATTTAAATAAATGAATCATATTATAGTATTTATATTAGGAATATCATGTAGACGGTAAAACGCTAACCAAAACTTGTCTAATCATTCCCACCAACAACGTATTGACATCCCCGCCAAATTTTGTATAATTAATATACTTAAATTTTATAAAATATTATACTCCCACACTTGTGTTTTGTGAATCCACCGTGCTTTTGTTTATTATTATTATTATTACTATTATTATTGCTTAGCATCACTATTCGTTTACCACATAATACGTCGCCTAGTAATAGCAGAAAATGGCTCAAGTATATGTATATACATATGTGGTTTCTAAACAGAAGACCCGGGTCTGATTCTCGGTGTTTCCAACTTTTTTCCCTTCAAATCAGAAACAGCACATCTCATTTTCACAATGTGAGAATACGATAATGGAATAGATAAATGTTATTATTACACTGTAGTTTATCCATGTGCTTTACAACGCATTCATATTTTTCCATTATTGTTGATACGATACATCAATCAATGCATTGGATGGAATAAACAAAACTAAAGTATGATTCATTAATGAATGCATAAAAAAGTCTCTCCCGGAAACTTTACAAGAATAACGTGTAGGTACTGCATCAGTTGCCTATCGGCGGAGTGACCGTTGCCGTCGCTCCCTGACATATAAACAATTCGTCCAAATATATAAACAAGCGTGATCTGGATGCTGTAGCGAAGTAAAGTGTGTTACATCACTGAATGTTGAACAAAAATGTGGTCTGGGGTTACTTATACACAACTTCCCTCGCCCTTGAAATACAGTCGAACAGTTAGCTTTGTCTAGAGATAATGGCAACGTGGTTGGCGACACGCGTCGACAAATATTTTGTGTTTTTGGTGTTATGGGAATAAACATTCTGTAAAATACAAAATGTTCGAAAAATTATAAAATTTAATTTGGCGAATTTTATTTTTATTTCCTGAGCGTAAGCAACGAAAGTATTGTAATCGGGTCTATCGGGGGGCGACTGGCTACTTTTTTATGTTTTCTCTTGGCTTAGTCTGTGTACAGTCTCTTCAGATTTTTATTAGGCAGGTAATCTCCAAAAGTACCGGACCGATTGTATTTTATATGTATGTTAGGATCGTGTAGATGGTAAAAGGCTAAACAAAATTTGCCCAATCTTCCTATCAATGTCATGACATCTCAAAAATGTTTACAATAAATTTTATAAACTAACATCCTCTTGTATTTGTTTCAAGAAATCTTGATCACCATTTGTTTTGTCGTATTTTACAATTTAGGGAAGCTTATGAGGTTTAGTTGTTTAGTTGTTGCCTGATTGTCAGAGTTGCATATGTGTGTTAATTTCCATGATCTGAAGTATGTAGGTATATCTACACAAAGGAGCTGTTTAGCAACGTTCAGCAAGATTTTTCGTGTATTTCAAAAATTAAGGGTGGTTGTAGGGTTAGAATTTTGTTGTTGTTGCTGTTTATTGAGCATGTAAGATTGTGTATGTGTGCCAATTTTTCTGCTCTAAAACATAAGAATTCAGCAAAATTTTTGGCATATTTTAAAATCTAAGGGAGCTTGTAAGGACGGACATGTTCTTGTTGTTGCATACTTATCGAGCGCAGTATAAAGAATTATAATGTCAGTTTTCATGGTCTCGAACGTACACAGTACATCATCAGTATCATCAACATCGCTCAGCAAAATTTGTTGTATATTTTTTAAGTTGCTGTGGGGATAGAAAATTGTTTTACTACTTCATCTTTGTCGGGCATGTAGTTATTTATGTATGTGTGCCAATTTTCACGGTCTAGAACGTACACAGAAGAGCCATTTAGCAATATTCAACAATTTTTGTCGTCGTTGGGCTGAATAACATTAGTCACATTAGATAACAAATACTACAAATTTGCAAAAAATATCTAAATATAAAAAATTTACCACAAAAAATACATAAATTCATATTATTATAAGCAAGATAAATAATTACAGACAGAAAGTGCACTAAAGCAATACCTACTCGGTATTTGTTTTGATTGTCATGAATCTATAAAAAATTGTTAGCAAGTAAACATCACAATCTAATCAACAATAGCTTAATAGCAATTACTTTAGATGTATTCACCTCTCTAAATCCTTGAGAAAACACGAAACACACTAGTTCGTAACCTGTGAATCCAGTTTAGTCGTTCATGCTGCAACAAAATGGTGCTATCAATGGAGCGCTGGTCCGGCAAAATTGCCGTTGTTACGGGTGCTAGTGCAGGTTGTGGAGCTGCCATAGCTGAGGCTTTAGTCAAAGAAGGTCTACAGGTAAAATTGCTAAGACTCTTGTTATACAAACGCTTACGTTAACTTTTTATGTCATATCCAAGGTTGTTGGTTTAGCTCGTCGCAAAGAACGCATAGACGAACTATCTCAGAAATTATTGAGGTGCAAAGGCAAACTTCACTCTTATAAATGCGACATGACGATTGAGAGTGATATTATTGCTGCTTTCAAATGGATTAAGGACACTCTAGGTCCCGTGTCGGTGCTCGTTAATAACGCAGGGGTATCTCAGCCCAACACTCTCATCGGTGGGAATACGGAAATGTGGAAAAAAGTTCTTGATACTAATGTTTTGGGTACGTAGATTGGTGCAAATTTGTTTTCATTTGAAGAAAAATAGATGATAATACCAACAGAATTGAGATTTTTAAAACTCATACTCCTATATCTGACAGTGATATGTTAAATTTGGGACAAGGGGATACCGGTATATAACAACAGCTATAATTTTATTGACAACTTCAGTTGCAGATAAAAACGAAATTATTCATTGTTACCCTATAATAACACTTTTTGCTATATTTTATACAATTATTAAAAAGTGCTTTTATCATAATATTGATATCTCGACGAATGAGGACGTTGTTATCTGTAAAATAAAATCAAAGGGATGTGGTATGATCCAATCAAATGTGATTTACACACATAAGCACATTTAAATTAAGAAGTCAAATATTCTTCTCGATAGTCATTATGTGTTCATATTTATAAAAACCGATCCGGTGCATTTTACTTCCCGAGCGTAAGTGATGAAAGTATTGTAATCGAGTCCGTTGACTGACTCTCTACTTTTACGTTTTCTCGACCGAACGTAATAAAATAAAATAAAATAAAATAAAATAAATAAAAAATTATGAACGCCGTACTTTATAAATTCCAACGCTATAATTTAAAAATGATGGACATGTTATTTTGTGAATTATGAATGCAGTACTTTGGATAATCCAATGCCGTGCTTTATCAATGCTGAATGCCGTGCTTTGATGGATATTTTTAACATAAGTAAGTTAAAATAAAAATCGGGCATTTTTGGAAAAATGTCTTTCGTGTTCACAGTACTAACGCAAAACATTTTCAGTAATATTTATTAACAATAAATTAGAAATTCGCCAAAACGCGTTACTTTTAGACAAAACGATAAGTTGTCACCTTCAGATCGAAATCAAAACTGAACACAAAGGACCGAAAAACGCAACCTTTGCTCAGGTAGCTCACGTGACAATGACGTCATTCTTCGTCACGATGAGATGCAAAAATCGTTTTTTATACTTTTTTTTGGCCTGGAAATTGCACATTTTTTGGGGTTAATTTAACAATGTTTGAACAAAATGAATTGATTTTAATACCTTCATGTTTGTAGGATAACGGTTTTCGGTTTGATTATGGCCGTTTTCGGGATTTTTTGGAAAAATATCCACTTTCATGCATGTTCACAGCACTAACGCAAAACATTTTCACTAGTATTAATCAATAATAAATTAGAAATTCGCAAAAACGTGTTACTTTTAAGCCAAAACGGAGCTCCGAATGCTCCGATGTTTCTACTACCAGATTGAAATCAAAAATGAACACAAAGGACCGAAAAACTTGACCTTTGCTCAGATAGCTCACGTGACAGTGACTTCATTGTACGTCACGATGAGATTGCAAAAAATATTTTTCAAATTTTGGCAGGGGAATTACGCATTTTCGGGGTTAATTTAACAATATTTAAACAATTTGAAGTATTTTTAATAACTTGATGTCTGTAGGAAAACTATTTTCGGTTTGATTATGACATATTAATGCTTATCATATATTTAAACGGTATAAATAATGTTAATTATGTTTCAGTATTGTTTATTGTGTCATGATTATTTATATTATTTTTATATTTGTCGAATATACGAATCACGGACCCAGATAAATTAAAACTCAAATCGTATTTACTCCGTTTTCGGGCATTTTTGGAAAAATATCGACTTTCCTTCGTGTTCACAGCACTAACGTAAAATATTTTTACTAAAATTTTTATTAACAATAAATTAGAAATTGCGGGCATGTGCTACTTTTAAGCTAAACATGAGCTCCAATGTTGCTGCCATCAGACAGAAATCAAAACTGAACACAAAAGACCGAAAAACGTGAACTTTTTTCAGGTAGCTCACGTGACAGTGACGTCATCGTACGTCACGATGAGACTGCTAAAATTATTTTTATAATTCAAAATAAAGATATATATCCAATGTTAAGGTAGAAGCGTGCTAAGCGTATGTTTCAATTCCTTTACAAAATTTTGTGATAACATCATTACCATTTTTTACATAACTAAGCAGATAAAATGTCCTTCAGCACTAGGTAATAGCAATCTGAAATTCCAGTGTTTATTTATGTTTATCCATTGAAAGAATGATTGGTAAGTGTAACCAGTGATAATCTGTAATTGGCTAGATGACACGCTTAGGAATTTTGAAAATTGTTTGTCTAAAATTTACAGCAGGTTACTCATATTTTTGTAATCTACGTCTTGTAGGCACGCCATATTACATGCAATCATACATTCTTCAGTCGCACTACATTTTCCCTAGGTATCGCAAGGAGCTGAAAATAACAAAATAATACTACTTAACCTTAGTTAACGGGTCGGTAGATACTTTATTATAATAGTAATATAACAGTAGTTACTAGTCATTAATGGGTACAAAAAGTAACGAATATCATATGTGCATTATATGGTAGGTATATGTATATTTTAGGAATAGATAGATATATACCGACGTACACATTTCTCTTGAACGAACTGGACTGTGACTGAAAAAAATAGATTAAGCAAAATTTAGTAGTTCAAAAAGTAAAATATATAAAAATAACACCGAAATTACGAAAGAAGCGGTTTCCTAAGATTTTTAAGTTTCCATTGTATTTTCATTTGAATTTGTGGTACTTACGCTTTATTATGTAATAGTGCCACTTTCTTTCGGTTTCAGTTCTGAAGACGCTTTGGGTTGGACTTTAACAATCTTCTCTCCAGTTTTGTTATATAGATCGTAGATTTCGGCTAAGCAACTTATTTTCAAAGTATGTTTTGTAAACGATTCAGGAATTTTTATTTTTACATGTGAATGCGTCCTACAATTTTTAAATATAAATAGTATGTTTTGTTTATTTATAACAGAAAGTGTTAACCCAACAATATTAAATTATTATAAAAATATTTAGTGCAATTGTCTCCTACTAGTTACTTGATCTATTTATACATATAAATATTTCAGATATTGCTAACTACACTTACGTATAATCGACACCATTGGTTACATTGTACTCGACATTTTCAGCTTCAGTACTTAATTCAGTATTCCATGTTATATTAACAGCAGGGTACGAATGTTCTGAAATACACTTGGCGGTGACAGTTTCTCCAGAATTATATGTTAGTTTATCGGTCTCTATGTATGGATCTCTCTCAGGCGGTACAACCACCTGGAACAAAAACAGTCGGTTTAAGGTTATCTAGGCAGAACTTTCCGCGTCCCTGAATTTACCTTTTTCAAAAAATTCTAAAATTTGATTAGGGATAAAGTAAATATAAAAATAAAGCATCCTATGCGTATGATTGAAGTAAATTTTCCATTACAAAATTTTTGATGACATCAACATATTAGCCAAGATACATATCAGTTTGAAATACTAATAATGGCAGTACTGTATTTCCAAATATTCGGAAAAATGGGGTAAGCCGTCCTTGATTTGTATAAGCAATTATAACGAAGGCATCACTCGCAACAAACCATACACATAGAAATATCAAAGAAAACAGTGGATTGCTAACGGCACCTCTGCTATCGAGGACTCGATTTTGCATTGTTACGCATTATTCTAAGAAACCATAAACTTAGAGCAGGAAGCGAGGACGACCGCCCGGCACAATTTATGACTGTTTCTGTTTGAATACAAAAAAAAAATTGTAATTAAAGAAAAACGAGAATTTCTTAATTCAATTTTTTGTATTATATCGTATGTCCAATATTATTTACACCCCCTAAGTATATTCCAACAGGGTACCGGTACCTTAACTGATAAGGTAAATAAGGAATGCTGCTTTTGAAATAATCTGAGACCCTTGCTATAATATAACTCCTTGACATCATACACCAGTTTCAAATCGTACTTGATTTAAATGCATACCTGAAGTTTAGACTGAGATATAGAAGTTGGAAAAGATGGTGCGTCGCCTGAAACTTCACAACTATAACGTCCACTAGCATTCCTAGGGACATTTATTATAACCAAAGAAGTAAAATTAGAATTAGAAGCCACTTCTTTCAGACGTTGACCATTATACACGGAGAAGTGGTATGTACGTGGCCAAACTCTAGGCACATAACGAAAAAATTCCAATGTGTTTAAGTACCATTTAACACTGTACAATTGTTCACCCTCCATATCATAAAAACAACTTAAAGTTACATTCCTTCCCTTAATTACTGCTGAAGGTACTATGATGTGAACATTGCGTAGTCCAAAAATACCTAAAAAATTATATGTGCAGTCCACGTGTCACTTATTCTTATCAATTAAGAGTAGTGTGAGTAACACAAATTGTAATACTATAATCATTCGTCCATGTATATGGTACACATTTCAAAAGCAAATTTACATTAGATAGCTAATAAGTGTAATAAGTAAATGTCATTGAATTTTTTGTTTTGTTTCACAAATCGAGTGTTGACTTGAATTGTATTCAACTTGAATACATTTAATTTTAATAATACTTTTATGTTAATAAAGTTTTTCATTTCACAAAAATTCATTTTCAAACAAGTTTAAATTAACATTTTGTTAAGAAAGTACATACTAACTACGAAACGTGAACACAACTAATTTTCCGTGTTTTTATACTTTATCATTTCAACTTTAACCTCTGATCACAAAAAATGTCACAAACAAAATGTGAACTCTTTTTAAATATTTGAAGTATTCTACTTCGTTTAATGCCCGTATGTCAAAATAAAAATTAAAATAATTACCTCTAGGTGTAAGACAACAAATAAACAAACACAGTTTGAACCAGTTTGCGTTTGAAGTCATCTTTATGGGAGGTGAATTTTAGCTCTGATACAGTCTTGTTTGGTCATAATGTTTTATAATAATATAAACAAACTACAGTAACTTTTATTTACAATGCATAGAAGTTGGCGCCACGTTCAATATGAATTAATTCGTAATATTTATATTATATTTTATATTATTTTCATATTTTTTCGACATTTCCTGACCCCTAGAGAATGAAAAAGAAATTAGTTTAATTTGAATGAGTTTGTCTTCTCAAAACAGAAGAGTAAAATTCCGAAGTTCCGAATATTATTATTATTAAAGGGGCCAGGTTCGGCATCTATATGGTGGTGGTAGTAAAACGTTATTATACCGTGCAATTGCTTTTGCGAAAATTTGAACGTTTAGCGAAAAAACTGAAAGCGGATTCGTACGACTTTTCTTATTTTTCAAAAATTGTAAATTTTCTTAAACATTAGTAGATATTAACAGTTAATATAAACAAATAAATTTTATATATTAAGACAGTACTCAAAATTTTGTTAATAAATACATTACAACATTCTGATAAACTAATGTTTTAGGTCTGACAATAGCCACAAGGGAAGCCATAGATCAAATGACTAGCAATAAAATCGACGGGCACGTCATCCATATTAACAGTATTTTAGGACACTACGTAGCTCATGTCCCCCAAGTCAACATGTATTCAGCCTCAAAATTTGCCGTTACTGCCCTGACTGAAACTCTGAGACAGGAACTTGTAACTTTGAACAGCAAAATCCGTGTCACTGTAAGTATTAAACATAATATTTTTTATTTTATTAATAACAAAGATAAAGAGTCTCAGTCCAGGTCCTGTGGATACCGAATTTGCTTCTTCTTCTAATTTAACGAATCACGAGGAGTGGGCGAAGTTGTACAACGCAATGCCCAAATTAAATAGTGAGGACGTCGCTGATGCTGTCGTATATATACTATCAACACCACCACACGTCCAAGTAAGTCGAGACGCGTAGATGTAAGATGTAGATTAAATTCACTTATATTCTCTTGTAGATACAAGAAATAATGATGCGTCCTCTAGGAGAACCGGTATGACTCAATCGCAATACCCAGTTCTTCAAAATATGAAACAAGTTTGGAAATAATTTTATTACGTATTAAGTGTATTATCAGTTGCCGTAATAAAATATATGAACTAGAAAATTTCACCAAGTGGATGAACTGTCAGTTCGTGCACCTACAAATAAATGAATAACTTTTAAATATTTATTTGTAATTATGTGGATAAACCTGCACGTTTGGACCTGTCGACAACACATATACAATAGCTTCAGCTATATCTTCCGGTTTCAGAGCCGGAATTTCATCATCGTCTGAAAAACCCTCTTGAGATTCACCACGAACTAAACCCGGACTTATACTCTAAAACCAAATTTTATATTTGTCAACAAGAAGTCAACACCACACTTACCGTAATTTTAATCCTACTTCCTGCAAATCGTAGCTCTTGTCGTAAAGTCTCAGTTAGCGCGGTCACTGCAAATTTAGACGCCGGATACACGTTGAGGCTCGGCTCTGGCATAATCGGAACTTTATGACCAGCTATAGAATTCATATGGATAATGTGACCAGCCACGTTGTATCTTCTCATTATTCGGATAGCTTCTCGTGTACAGATACATAACGCTATTACGTTTACTTCAAACACACGCTTCCAGTCTTTGGTGGCACCTTCTAAAAATGACAGTTTGTGACGTCACAAAGTTCATAGCGATAGTGACGTCATACTTACCCAGTAGAGTACTGTTTCTACTCAATCCAGCGTTATTCACAAGGACATGTATAGGGCCGATTTTTTCAGTTATCCAGTTAAAGGATTTCAGAATATCGTCTTCTCTGGCAATGTCGCATTTTAGGGGGATAATTTGACCACAGATCGTACTAACGGAGGCGGCGAGGTCTTGGAGGCGGTGAGTGAGGCGGGCTAAGCCTATTACCTATTTTTGTTTAAACTCCGCATTAATACTTTTTAACCTACTTTAAAAAAAGCTAGTTAAAATGTCGTGACTACCTACACCCCGAAAAATGGTCTACCTACATGTTTATTTTTATGAGAAAACAGGATCACATTTTTTTTTTGTTTTTAACAGTATGTGTTTTGTGAGTAAACGTGAATTAAAAAATCGAGTGTAATTTTAAATTAAGTTTCAAGCTCCTGTTCACTTTATGTGGAAAGAACCGATTCTAAAATGTCTTACCAACGTTGCTAACTATTGTATTGATAAAACTTAGTCATACTGGTGACAATCAATATAAATTTTCGCTTTATTATTTTTTATTTTACCTTCATGCCCTTTTCTGCTAGGGTTTTCATGACGATAGGTCCTATCCCAACACTGGCACCAGTCACTACGGCCACTTTTCCTTCCCAGCGTTCCATTTATTTTTCGGAGATGTTGCGTGCAAGAAGTTGTCACAGAGACTAGTTGTTTGTGATGGTAACGTATGTTTGTAATATTTTTCTTGAAGACAATAATTTACTTTCAAAAAAATTCGTGTTTTATATTTCGAAATATAATTGATTATTTTGCTGTAAATTAATTTATAGTAGATCCCATGTGTCGTGTTTCGCAAGTGTCAGAATATTTTAATGTTATAGATATAATATTTTTAATCACAATTGTTAGAACATTTTCATTAAATTTTTAATGTTCAACTAAAATTTTTCAAAATTTCTACATATAAATTACAATTTACTATTAAGAAATGAATTGTAACTATGTAGATATCGATTAATAAATTAATTAATACAGAGTTATTCACGACTTTTCGTCAATGAACCAGATAACAATTTCAAAATCATCTTTGATATTTCACACCGTTTTTAAAAAATTGGTCCAAAGTTAATTAGACAGAACTTCCCTCGCTCCTAAAATACAGTCGAGCAAATACAGTCTCTTACTAAAATTGTAAAATTTAATTTTGCGATTTTTTTTGTGATAACCCCTACAATTTAAAATAAAGTTATGTCTGGATGTGTTAGAGTATAGATAAATATGCATGTTATGTATATTTCAAGCGAGTTTTTTCATAACAAAATTTTGTGATAGCGTTATCAATATTTTACCAGGGACACGTTGTAAATCTGAATAGCGGCGGTATAAATTAAACTAGTAATAACACTATTATGTACTCTTTATTAAGAGAATTGATACCATGCATACGCATGTATAACATTAATGGTGCTAAATTTATAATTTATTAATAACAATGTTATTGTTGTAACTATTTCAAGTTATATACCCAATGCTTATTCAATGAAGATTTGCAATTGACCAGTAGTGCATGTTGTAACGGTTCACTACGCTATTATTTTTAAAAGAATCAGAAAATTGTATTAAAAAATGATAATTTGGATCAGCGTGGATTTTCTTAACATATTTTTACAAAAATTTAGTTTGTTTTCCATATCTGCTTCTGATAGTTCTCGGTGCAAAGATATTTTATACGGATGATATTTATTCCGTTTTCAAATACGCTGAATGGAAGTATCTGAGACCTGATTTTCTAATTGTCTCGCCAAAGATCTTATGCTAATGTTTGGATTTTCGTTCACGTTTTGGTTCACGAACACTACTGGTATCTTCAAATAAGTTAAGCACATCATTAACTCTGAATTTTGTCAGATTTTCTTCCGGAAACCCTTGACTCAGGACTCGAAACATATCGGCAATACGATATATCCTGCGAAACCCTCCATACGCATAGATAATCCCTTTTTTCAAAAAATTGAAATTTCAAGCATTTTAAAAGAAACACAAAGTTGAAACTTCAAAAGTGCGAGAAAATTACTTGTTCCGTCACGGTTGACCAAAAATTTTGAAGAAAAAACATGCAAATGTTTCATGGCTAAGTTTGTTTTCAAAGAATTAATTAAAATCCTTTTTTCTGCCACATCGAGAGCAAATTTCCCAAAGAGGAATAAACTTTTCCGAAGTTTTCTTTCACGGAATCCTTTGTTTCAACGTAATACTTGGTTTTCTTCAATTTTATTGCAATCTTACTGTTCGAGGGCTCGAAAAAGAAGAAGGAAGGGTGTTTGAATTTGCCAATAGCTGGGTTCGGTTTTGGAAAGTGGAATCAGGTAAAGAAAAAGAGTTTAGAAATTCTAGAAATTGGAAGTGAAACTAGGAGCGTAAGGCAGGTAGACGAAAGATGATTATTGTACTACAAATGTACATGCACTCAGGTAGCTCCACGTGTTTTTTGGGGAACGTGTTGTTCCCATAGTACACCCCTGCTAGTGTTTATCACGAAAAACCGCTTTGCAGGCGCTTAGGAAAGCGCACCTGTTTTCCTGACGTAGTGAGGACCACGCTGTTGACCTGTGAAGGGCGCTAGTTCGTCTGTCGTGGGCGTCGTGCTCGTAGTGTCGCGGGCATACCATGATGCGGGCGTGTCGCCACTAAGAACATACGCGGGTTTAAGCCGATCTATGGAAACGGTGACATCTCGACCTTTTATGTGGACGATTCTGTATGGACCGTCGTATGGCTGTTGAAGTGGCTACTTGGGACTGCCGTGGTGTACAAAAACTTGTTCTGAGGTGCAAAATCTTTGAAATCGAAGGTTTTCTTTGTTCTATGTCGCGTTCCATCACACGGTTTTAAGTTACGCACGTGCTCACGTAACTCTTTGACGAAGCTTGAGGTGCTGTTGTCTGCTCTGCTTTTGTCGCATGGGATGCCCAGGAATTCACTGGGCAGGCGGAGAGATTGTCCATACACGAGTATGAAGTGTGGAAGTCTTCTTTCCATGCTGCTTGAATGCCGAGTATGATGGTGGATAGGGCTTCAGTCCAGCGATTATTCTGGTGACCTTAGATCATATAATAAATAGATACCAATACTTAAACTGAAAGCTGTGACTAGACATAAAGCTATCTGTTATCGTTTTCTACGTCAAGGGGAGTAGTATAATGCTATCCTTGTGTGATCACCACATCTTCATCTTTGTTATATGCATTTCATCTGTATATGTCTATTTCACTTCCATCCTTGTACCGCACCAGCGCAACAAATCGCTTTTGACAGATGTTTCTTCTAACCTCTCTTTCGTAAAGTCCCTAGATAACCAAAGTAACGCAATTGAATGTTTCAATGTGTTAGAGAGAGAACGTGTATTTCGGACACAATATGGCGACCGACAAACGTCAAAGTTAATTGTGAAACTCTCTTTAACGCATCACCTCGTGGCGTAAGTCCTGTTTTGTAAAGTTGTTTGTGTTTTTTTTGTGGTATTTTATAACTTTTATTTTAAAATGCCAAGTTGTTGTGTTCCTTTGTGTGGAAATAAAAGCCGATTGTTTCGTCTTCCAACAGGTAGGTTACAACTGAGTTTTCAATTGAGTTTTTTCAACTAATTTAAATTGTTGCAGGTGTTAGTAATAGGGCTAGAAGAGAGATGTGGGAGAATTTAATAGGCCGGGACGATTTGAACGACAACTCCAGAATTTGCGAAGTAATTTGTTTAAAGCTTGAATATGTAATTGCACAATGTTAAATATATTTACTTTTAGTTACATTTTTCTGAACAACAATTTGAAGCAAATCGAGCAGATGGAAGGAAACTATTGCGGCCGAATGCTGTTCCAGATGTATTAAATAAAAATGTTGGTGCTTGTGTTTCAATGGACGACTGTACTCCTTTGACAACTGCTAGGGAAAATGAAATTTTTGAACTTGAAAGCTCTAGCAACAATGAAAATGTAAATGTTGGTTGTTTCCCTGAAGTGGACCCGTTATTGGACCAAACCAACATAGTGGAAGAATCTCAAACGTTGATCGAAAATTTACGTAACGCTTTGAGAAAAGCTTTACGGGAGCGCAATAAATATAAAAAGGCACTGAAAAGTTGTGTCAATAATTTACAAGGGACATTAAACGAGGATCAAATTCAATTTATTCAGACTGGCACTCCCAGAGGTCAACTATGGTCAGAAGATACAATGACAAAAGCACTGAAATTGTATTTAGCTTGTGGCGCGAAGGGTTATGAAGAAATACGACGGCAGAAATTGCCATATCCGAGCATTAGGACCATACAACAACGTCTTCAAGGAATAACGCTTAAACATAAATAAATGTTTATTTGAAAAAAATCTACATTTACGCTTTGTACGCAAGTATCGAGTCCGTTAATTTTTATTTATTTATTTTGAATTTGGCGCGGACACAATATGGCGCCCAATTGCGGTACTTTATATATCTAGTGACTTTACTCTTTCGAGTTGTTGTACAAAAAACAATTTTAGAATTTAGAACAAAGATCCTATTTTAAGTGATGTAATCATAAAGGATCACAATTGCTGCCCAATAATTTACTATTCCTTTCGTTATCTACTGTGAATTATTTATAAAATCAAGCTGTCAACATCTTTCGTACGAAGTTAGTTCAGACATACTTCCTAAAATTTAGGCGCGCAAAATTCAAATAGTGATCAGGCAAGGATAGCTTTATTGTAATCCCTCCATGCACGAGAGAGATGTGTGACAGGAGGATGTCGTCACAGGCTCCCCTAAGGAAAGAACACGGCATGGTGGTATCTATTTATTATATGATCTAAGCTGGTGACACATGATTGCCACTTTTAGCTGTCGGTGTAGGTGTTCGACGATTCCGTTGGCTGAGAGATGGTAGGCTGTCGTTCTCAAATGAGTGGTTCCTGGTAAACAATTTAATTGTTTAAGTAGGTACGACTCGAATTGTCTACCTTGGTTGGTGGTCACTCTGCTAATTGGTACGGCTTCTGGCCAGCGGGTGTACCGATCTACCATGGTAAGGCAGTAACGACAACCCTCTGAGAGTGGCATAATTACTATGTCCATGTGCATGTGCTCAAACCGGGCTGATGGTGGCGAGAACTTACCGACGGGCGAAGAGACGTAGTGTGAGATCTTCGAACGCTGTCACTCTACGCAGTTGCGAGTCCACTCTCGACAATTTGCTTTGATTGATGGCCAGAATAAGTAACGTTGCGTCACCAGTTTTACGATGGCTTTAATACCTGGGTGGGATAAACAGTGGATCGACTCGAATGCAGCTCGGTGAAACGACTCGGTGACGAAAGGACGCGCTGTTCGAGTAGAGACGTCGCAGAGTACCGATACTTCGCAGCCTGGGATTCGTACCAGCTTGAGCTGAATGCCTGTATTCCCTGTTCCTACAACAACATTTTCGTTCCCTGCAATGTGGCGAATATCAGTCGTGAATTGACTAATGAATTCCAAGGTGTCGTATTTGGTGGGGTGAGGACTCGGTGTTCTTCTTCTGAAAGGCATACGTGATCGGCTTGTGGTCTGTATAGATGGTGAAAGACCGCGCCTCCACCATGTGCCTAAAATATTTGACCGAGAGATAATTTATGACCGAGAATTGTTCAGTGGGACTCAGTTTTTTAGAGAAGAA